TAAAAAAATTTCAAATTTTAGAAAAAAAATTTCTTTATGTTTTATTTCATTAAATTTTTTTATGTTATTACTGCTGCTCCATAAACCTTAAAAGGCAGTCGGAACATTCAGGGCTTCGCCCTGATACGAGCAGTCTTGTTTTACTTTACTCCTTGTTCTGAGTAAATGCCGTTCAAAAAATTATGGCGCGGATCTTTTTTGTTCCGACTTTGTGCTCGGGTTTTTTTTGTCTCCAGACAAAATTTAACCTTTTAACAAGCAGTTTTGGACGGAATTTCAAATAATCATTGGAAAAGTATTGTTGTCTTGAGCTCAAAATTAGAAAAAAATTGACCTTTTTCTGACCTTCCTCCTAAAACACAAGTGATGGACGTACTATGTTTGCAAGGGGCGTGTTATCAAAAAAAATCAAGTTTTGCCGAAGTAATTTTAAGTCCCCTAAGTTGATTTTTTAGGCTTTCGATGCAATAAAAAGAGTTTTATTTGCCCTAAATTTTGGCATCGCTGGCCTTTGTTTTAACAAGAGAGAGAGAGAGAGAGAGAGGGGACACTTTATTGTTTCAATATACTTATGCAGTTGCAGAACTGATTGTATAAGAATCTAGTGTACAATATTACGCAATGGTTATATAACATAACAAGAAAAAACATAAATTACTACGAGGTTGAATCAAATATTTGATTTAACAAAATAAATGTCCTTGGATACGGAAAGACTCTCCTTATTGGGTAACAGGGTGTCATCTTTTCCTATGATGAAATTTTTAATCAGAGTTTTTGTCAATGTGTACGGCAGTTTTCGATTAAACAAGGTTCGGATTATTGTGTTAAGGTTCCTGATTGATGTAAATAAGAAAGACTTACGAAGGAAATCAGTTTTACATGCTAAAGGGAACAGTAATGTTCCAGTTCGATGGTTATAGCGGAATTCAGAATTTGGGAATCTTATATGCGTGAAAGCTGGGGCATCGTTCGGCATAACCTGTGAAGGTAATGTGCTGATCGGTACTCGATAATATTCCGAGCAGTAGAAATTTTGTGCTGTTTCCTTAGAAGTGTAACGGAATCTCGTTTGCTTATATTCATTATTATCCTGATTCCCCATTTTATTTGTTTTTCGAGTTTCTCAATATTATCTTGCGTACATCCGTTTAAGAGCATGCATGGATAGTGCAAATGGCTCAGTACAAGAGTATTTAACAGGAGAATTCTAGTACGCAGAGGGATTTCGTCACGGATGCATTTTATCGTTTGGATTGCTGTAGCCATTTTTTGTAAAATTTTGTTAATTTCTTTGTCGAATGTTAAGCTTATGTCAATATTGACGCCGAGAAATTTAACTGTCTCTGTTAAATTAACTTGATAGTTTCCAACTTTTAATGAAATATTTTCAGTTAGTTTCTTTTTCGACGGTGCAGAAAATACAATGAACTGAGTTTTGTCTACATTAATTATTAATCGATTTAAGTGAAAATACAAGAGAATTTTATTGAAATTGTTTTCAATGCTCTTTGTTGCTGTTTCGGGATCTGAATGAAAACTAAGCAGAGTCGTGTCGTCGGCATATTGTACTAACGTACATGATTTGTCTATTGTTTGTGGTAAGTCATTTACATACAAGTTGAACAGCAGTGGTCCTAGTACAGTACCTTGGGGAACACCTTGCTCTAATTTAAGCCAATCTGAGTGTTCGCCGTTTACTATTGTCAATTGCTGTCTGTTTTCTAGAAATGACTTAATAAGAGTTGTTGCTGACTGTTCAAAGCCAATGTGACTTAGTTTCCTTTCAAGGACTGAATGAGAGAGTGAATCAAATGCTTTAGATAAATCAAGAAATGCAGCCGCTGCTATGTTATTTTTATCGAGATGGAATCTGATTTTTTCTGTTGTGTATAAAAGAGCATCATTAGTTGAATAACCTGGACGAAAGCCAAATTGTTTTGGATTTAGAATATTGGAATTTGCTAAGAATTCGTGAATTTGGGATGAAAAAATTTTTTCAAACAACTTCGATAGAGTGGGTGTAATAGAAATTGGACGATAATTTACTGGATCTGTCGAGTCGCCTTTTTTGAATATGGGAAAAACGTGTGCCTTTTTTAAGGTATATGGGAATACGGATTTCGAGATGCATTCATTGATAATCATCGTAAGAATTGGGTATACAGTATTAATGCTGTCTTTTAGAGCCCAAGCAGGGATTTTGCTTGGTCCTAATGGCTTGTTTAAGGGAAGTAATAAAATTGCATCTTTCATTTCTTTGTGAGTTATGAACCTGAATTGAAAGTGCCTATTTGTTTTGCTGTGTACACTGTACTCAGTTGGTACATCTATGGGAGGATCTGCGTTTTTGTATTCTCCTAATGTTGAGAACCTGTAGTTAAGGAAATTTGCTTTCTTCTTATTTTCAATTATAGTGTCGCCAAACGAATTCCGTAGATCACCTATTTGCGTTGACTGTTTCATGGTGTTCCTGATAGAGTTTATGAAATTCCATTGTTTTTTTGGACAGTCAAGCATTTTGAATTGAGCTGTTTTCTCTTTCTTGTATAAATGTTTTAGATGATTGTTGTATTTATTTCTTATTCGTTTATAGTTTTCAAAATTGGCATCTGTTCTTGATAATTGATATGCCTTTAGAAGATTTTCTTTTTCCCGTTTTAAAGGTCTATTGACTGAGTTAAGTACTTTACCAGACAGCTGTAGCTGCGGTTTATTTCGGATATACTTCTGCTCTAGTGGTGCGTGAGCGTTTAGGGCATGCGAGAAAACATCTTCAAATTTTATTAACATTTTAGAGATATCGTTTTCTTGGTAGACGAGAAACCATGGACTCTGTTTAAGTTCCTCGCAGAACCTATTTTTACAATAATTGGTTTTGTTGAAGCGAAAAGTTTGAATTGGAATGGCTTTTTCGAATCGTTTTAGTTTGCTAATACACATTGTTATTAAATGGTCCGTGTTTATAGGTGGTTCTGCTACAATAGTTTCTTTACAAAAAGATTTGGTTGCTATAATGTTATCTAAAATGGATTGGCTGTTTTTAGAGTTGTATGTCGGTATCGACTTATTGGTTATTGACAAATTGTATGGTTTAATAGAATCGCTGAGAAATTTAGCTTCATGTTTATTCAAGTAGTTAATATTGAAATCTCCCAAAATCGTAACATCTCGCGCTTCGGAGGCAGCGTAATCGATACCCTTTAGTGTATCTTCTATAAAAATTTCCTTTTTGGTTGTTTGTGTGGATTGTAGGCAATAGCAATTATCTGTCTTTTTGATTTTTTTGAGATGATTGGGCTATATGCCACCCAGAGTCCTTCAAAATGGGAGGGACGTAGATAATTTAAATCTTCTCGAATCTTAGGGTTAAATTTTTTCGGAATAAGAAGAAGAGTACCACCACCTGTGTGTTGACCAGTGCATTTTTTGTTACGGTCGCATCTAAAAATTTCATGGGTTGTTTTGCAGAATGAATAAGTTTGATGATCGCATGTTTCGTCAAGCCAGGTTTCCGTAAGACCAATAATTGTGTTTGAGTCAACTATTTCTGACAAGAAACGCATTTCCATGTGTTTGTTCTTTATGCTTCTACAATTTAGAGTTATATATTTGAGGAAGTTGTGGTGTTCCTTTGCTTTGTTTGCCAGGATTTCATATGAAAGTGCGGGACCTGGATTGACTTCGATGTCCCCACATTGAAGAAGCAGGATTTCCAATATTCCAATCTGAAAGGTTAGTATCACAACTGCGCAATAGATGCCAGCTGTGAATCTAAAGTGGCGGTTAGACGTCATGTTTCTAGTTTTGAGTAGTGCGGTGCTGTTGGGTTCATTGTACTTAATGGTAATGCTAGTTAAAAGGGAGAAAATAATGAGAGTCTTTAAAAGCCATTGGCTAAACATAAATTTGATAGATCCAGATCATTGGGTAATAGACTACTAAAACAGCATTAGTATGGATAGTATCTATTATGGCGTAAGTCATAATTACTACGATTGGTATTCATATAATTGTAGGTTTGATTGTTGCTGAAACCATGGCTCGCAAGACTCTTTGGGTGCTCGGGGCCCCACGAGACTTGGCTTGAACCAGGTTTCATACGATTCCTCTGAGGGTGCGCTGGGCCCCTAGAGTTGGAAGTATTCGGAGAAACAACTCGAGGTGATAAGCTGGATAATGGTAGCACCTTTTCCATGATTGCATTTTTTAAAGTACTAACAGAACGCATCAAATGTACTTCATCAAAGAAGATTGACTGATAGTCGTTTATGCTGACAATTTTATCGTATACAGGAACAATTTGATACTTTTTTTTCTTAAATTTATGAGCAATAAGGCTGTTGAATTCAGTTATACGTTTACCACTTACAGAATCGGGTCCCGATTTCACAGGCGGGACTTGGCATATATTGATTATTGTAGGTGAAAACTTTGTCTCAATTTCACTAATGGTGGCGCAAAAAGTTTCAAATATATCATCTACAGATTTGTGTAGTTCCCTTGTGAGTGAATTGGTGCCGTCCTGGAAGGTTACTGATTTCAGCTCAGTATCGTCGTACTTTTTCACAACTGATTGTTTCTCGCTGCAAAATGACCCGCGGTAAGAATGAACGGCCACGTCTTTGGGCAGCTCCTTCGTGTCAAACTCCGCTAAAAAACTCGAACCAATAATCAAGTTTTGAGTATCAGTGGGGATTACTTTGGCAGCAAAATCAATAGGTGCTCTGAGTCCTTTTGCGTTTTGATTACTGTTTGGAGGATTACTGGATGTTGCTAGTACATTGACAAGGTTATATATTTGAACGTAGTACTTATCTTTTTGTTCGGGATTGAGTTTCGTGAAGTCGTCGGGCAGCATCAGAAGCATTGGTGTTGACATTGTGTGAAGCCAGGAAAATGCCAGGCATAATGGTGCTGTTGGTGTCAAGGATAATATGCTGAAGTTAGTAGTCAGTGCCCAAAGAATGGCAACTAGTGTTTCATCACTCTCTGAAACAATTTAATAAGTTTAACACAACAAAAAGGCTAAAATCTACAATCTTTTGACCAAAAAGCTTTTCGACGCTCAATTTCCTTCGAAGTAAGTTTAAAAAAAATAGTAAGTCAGAATTCTTCTGTCGGTGATAAATTATTACGCAAACTGCTTACAAATTAATTAAAAACAGCGAACGATTTTCGTTCGGATGTTCAAAATGAGTGCCCGACTTGTGGCAAAACAGCCGAGCCAAGAGCAGCTTCATTGAAAGAGGATTGCGGCAATTTGAGGCTGTCATTGCAGGGCGCAACACCAGCAGGCGTTGCGGGCAAACGCGACAACGGAGGCGTGATGCATATAATAGCAGTGCAGATATTCTGATGGTGGCGTAGCATTACGTGTACATGTCATTATGCATAGATTTTGTATTTTTGTCACAATCAAGCTCTGATTTAAAACACAAAAATACGTCAGCTCGAACGGATTTTTTTAGATAGATAATTTATTTAAATTAATAACATTAATATGAAATGTGATTATGCTGTGTGGCATGAATGCTAATTGAGACGCCACCTAATATAATGATCCTGAAATCTCCTTGCAATCAGGCAAGTTCATGGAGCCCTTTATCAAATCAGCAGAACTTGAGATAAAAGAACACATCATCTAAATTAATATGAAATGAGCTCCCTCGTAGAATTGAATTTGAAAATATATATATATATTTATGTTTCTTATTTTTCTGAGATCCGAGCGCGGGCAATGGTATGATGAAAAAAACTTTGTTTTAAACAATTTACTTTTTTCGGAGGTGGAGGGGGTAGGTGGGAGGGGGCGTAGCGATTAGCATGCGTAGCGATTCGCAGGCAAAATTCCAACATTTTCTATCTGACATTTTGGAAGCTGCCTTTCATTCCTAACAATTTACTCTTTTTCGGAGGGCTAGAGTAATAAACTGAGCATAGCAACAAACCGAGTCTGGAATTTAAATTATAAGTTGCGTTAATTATTTCCTTATGCGTCGGTCAAACCAGTGCGAACCTATAGGTTTCGACTGTATCGACCAAAATTCGGTATGTTTCGACCCTGCTTGATCAAAATTCGGTTTGTTACGACCGTGCTCAACCGAAACAAATGAGAAGGACCGTGCTCGATCCAAGCAAGTTATGTTTCGATCGTTCTCGACGTGCTCGACCCAAAAAATGTATGTTTCGACTCGACCGTGCTCGATGGAATTGGATGTATTTCGACTTTCACATAACATGAGTTATCTAATTTTAAACGTTATATATTCTGCTTTTCGGGCAACATATTATGATGCTTTTTATCAAATTGAAATGATTAGAGTTTTTGCAATTTAAATGCTTTGTCGAGATAAACAATTTTGTGGCTTTTTTGTATCTTTTGGAATACTGGTTTGAAACTTGAGTCGAAAATGTTTAAAAATATGTTGATTTCTAAAAGAAATTTTTCCCTGTGATTCCGAATTACTCTAGGACAACCGGTATTTTTGACCGTGATCGAGGTCTGCTTCGACCGTTTTTGACCATTCTCGAAGTATGTTTCGACCGTGCTCGAGGTATATTTCAAAACCCTGTCTCGACTGTTCTTAATTGGTCGAGTACTGGCATGTGCTCGACTTTGACAGTCGAAACATAAAGTGAGCACCTGGATCTGGGTAGTCTCTATTTAAAACCCGTTCAGGCTTTCAATTGTATTATTACTTCTGGCTTTTATCTGATTTTAATTATTTGATATTATCCACTAAGATTCGGTATTAAATCTCTAAAGCCCTATTATAAACACGGACTAGTTTTTCCGACCAATTTTATATCTGATCTCATAAAAATTCGATCTCATAATAACTTCTCATTTACAATGTTCCTATAGATGTTTCGAGACCAGGAAAACAGAGTACGGACAAGATAAGTACTAGATTGAGAGTTTATCGGTTGATTGAGAAGGATATCGGATTGCTGCGCAAGCGGCACAAAATGTTCCAACAATATGCATTTAAAAACTACAAAATTTTTTTTCTTTATTTTCAAACTAAAATCGATGTCTGTACAAGGTGTGACGAGAAACAAAACGTACTGAAAGTTAGTGAATTAGGCATAATCGAGCTTTGCTCAAAAAACTAGCAAGCAAAAAATGGAGAAAAAAATTGAAAAAAGTTTTTTTTTACATTAAGTTTTTAAATTTTTTAGAAAAACTGAAAGACTTGTCTATAAAAGCACCAAGTAATTTTCGAGTTACAGAAAACGAACGTTACTCGATCACTTTTTACGCTCGGAATGAGATCAAACCTGAAACATTTCAAACCCATTTTTCTCGACAGTGGAAAAAATTTCAAAATTTTTTTAACTATTGTTTGAATCACGGATGAAAAGGTTTTAAAATGATATATCAACGATTTTTTGTGGGACCTGAAAAAAATTGAAATTTCTTCCCCATTATAAATGCTAAAAACAACAAAATTTAGACACTTCTCAGCTGGTGCTACCAACGAGTCTCGAAAAAAACCTTGAAGACATCTCAATATAACCTATACAAGAAATTATAATCAATTTTCAGATGGTTTAAAAATTTATGCATCAGTCATTATTTGCTATATCACCGTATTGTTTTGACAGCAATTTAGGCAACTTTCATTTTTGCTCTATTTGACCAACAGAAAAAAAAAATATTTTGAAAGCAGTCGGGGCATAGTTTTCTGAAGTCGTTTTTAGAATGATCGGTTCAAAAGGTATCTCACAAGTGTACGTTCTCGAATAGCCAGAAAAAACGCAAAAATACCTCCCATTGCTAAGCCAACTTTTTAAAGTTGCTATTGAATTGATTTGAACAGATAATATATTCGAACAACATCACACCATCCATTTTTTTTTATATTTTCAAGCTTGTTATTAGTTTTATGATATCATTGAAGCAGGAAACAAAATCGGTTGCAAAAAACTAGCCATCTGATTCTTACAAAAAAAACAGTTAAACTATTAACCCATAATTTTGATTTTTTTTTAGGTTTAATGGGAAAGTTTTGTTAAATTAAATCAAAATATGCTTAAGACTAATAATTTTCTTAGCATTTTTGTGAAAAATCACTCTCTGGAAATTTTAACGACCACTAGCTTATACCAGACCTTTTGATGATTTCATTTGCCGAATATTAGTATTTTCTTAGATCAAAGTGTGTACAGTTTTCGTTTTCAACTCTTTAGATCAGAGTTAAAAGGTTTGTGCGGTCGGTAATAAAACACCAGGAAACCTAGCTAAGCAAGAGAGGTAGTGTGAAAGGATATATTATAAAAAATGTTTGCCCTCAATATTACTCTATCGTAACCAGCAGGCAAGTTTGAAGTTCGACAACCTGATAAGCTGACAAAAGAACGAGGTTGAGGAATAATCGGTGATACAAGATAGACGCTTGAACAAAAAAATCCGGCAATAAGTTAATCAAAATTTCAGAACAGGTAAGCCTTACGCAATGGGCGAGAAAAAAAAATCAGCAGAAATGTCCGGTTTGCGACAGGCTCAAAGAAAGTCCAATCCTTATTGACTCTTATAGTTTAGGGTGTCAACTGAAGTCAAACAACTTATCCGTCAAAATTTTATCAGAGAAATTTTATAAAGCTGCCTCAAAATAGTTTGTTATGACACCTTGAGACGGAGAAGTTGAAACTCCTAGAAAGTATTTCAAGTCAAAGGTCTTTTTTGTGGCATTTAAAAATGGTGAACGTTTTTGTATTATGAAAATAGATTTATGAGAAAAAGTAGACCAGCTACTGCAAGCAAAACATTATCATGAGCAAAATAGTCTGACTGATAGTATTCTGGCCTTTTTTATAACTTATAAAAACAAGAAACAGAATCGGTTTAATTCAAGTGAATCAATAAACGGCGAATTTTAGTAATTTTTTATTGCACGGAATTAGCAACAACATTACACGTATCAAGTTAAAAAGTGGGCTTGTTCATGCCCTGATTTGTGTGATTTTTGTGTTTTTTCACAATGAGTTCATACTTAGTTCACGCAGTTTAATTAACAGAAACTCAATTGCAAACCAATTTTGAACCGATTAAAATATTAGCATTTTATGTTCTGTCAGGTTCGGCTCAAATAGGATTCTCAAATGAAACGACTTAGGTGAGAATCGAACCCACGCCGAACTCCCCGGAATGCACTATGTATACGCTGAGCTATATAGCTGATATTGATAAGCAACTATACTGGCTTTATACTATACTTTCATACTTTAATGCTATGTAGCATTAACATCCTCCACGCCCGAAGGAGCGAGAACCGGAACGAGCTTAACGAGCGGCCGAGTGTAGTTTCCGGAAACGGTCCTTAGGTTTGCGGAACGGGCGGTGTTGTCTTTGCCGTAGTTTAGCGACGTTATGCGTGCTAGTGGGTAGTGGCCCCTAGGGCTAGTGGATTCAACTAACCACACCATATCTCCCGTTTTCAAAGAGTATTCGGGAGGAGCATGCCACTTAACTCTTTTATTGAGTATAGGGACATACTCACTTAACCATCGCTGCCAAATTGCGTTTGCGTACGACTGCGCACGGGCATAGCGCTTAGAGTGAGAACAGTTTTCACTCGACCTTAGAGACGGAAACGTTAGACTGTGCTGACCTAAGAGGAAATGATTCGGCGTCAAAGCCTCAAGACTATCGGGGTCGTCAGAAACGGGAGTGAGTGGACGGGCGTTTAGTGAACCTTCAACTAGGCACATGGTTGTGTTCAAAATCTCGTCAGTCAACTTTCTTGACCCTAAGATTGCATAAAACACACGCTTACAACTGCGCACTATTCGCTCCCATGCTCCACCTTGATGTGGTGCACTTGGCGGATTATACTTCCACTTAATGCCTTTGTGTACGAGCGACAGTGGAGCTTCTGCGTTCCAATTATTGATGCACAGAAGAAGCTCTTTCTCGGCTCCTACAAAGTTTGTTCCGTTGTCCGACCAAATTATTGAGGGTGTTCCTCGCCTAGAAATAAAGCGCTCGATAGCCATCACACATGAACT